TCAGTTTGGGCCCTCAGAGAACTAATAACTACCGTATTAGTCACTCAAAAACCACCGTATATAAATACCATGGTTAAAATGCATTATTAACTACCGTACTTGATATGGTAGTTGATTAATCAGTATTAACCACCATATATTATACAGTAGTTAAGTTACGGTGGTTAAAAATACATTTTCCTTTAGTGGCTCTTGCTCTGGAGTAGCAAACCGCGAATTTATGGCAGTGCGCAAATAATTTGCGTATTTTAATTATATAGAGCGCTGAAAACCTCGAATCCTTTGATATCTGCCCAAGGAATAAAGTTGTTGTTTCTTTTCTCCACTTATGGTGTTGTTTCTGGTTGTAGTCATTAATAGGCGGTGAATAGAGGCTTTGGAGAGGGAAGATATTCAGATGTTGAAAGTTGATGAAGCGGCGGGGTTGGAAGCAAAGCAAGTAGAAGAAGCTTTGTTGGATTTTTTATTTTTTATTTTTGGAGAAATACCGAGAAAATAAGATAGACATTTCGTATGGATGAGAGATGTGTGGATTGTGATTAGGGGTGTTCAAACGGATTGGTTACCGTGGTAACCATATTAACCGGTAGCATTCGCTTAATTTGGTTTGGTTAATTTGGATAATTGGTTTGGTTTGGTTTGGTTAAATAATTTAGCTAATTTGGTTTAGGTGGTTTGGTTTGGTTTGGTTTCAACATTGCTAACCAATGAAATCAAATAACCAATTAATGATACACCTAATATACAAAATTATTTATACTTACATGCAACCAACCAAACCAAACTTTCGTGATTCCCTATTGTATTTCCATGTGCACAACAAATCAATACATTATGGATAAAAAATTAAATGGGTCTGCCTATATTTACTAAACCAAAACATTTTGGACAACTTCTAGACTTTAGGATTACGTACAATACCATGACAACCACCTCAAACTATGTATAGTTTAAGTGTTTTGTAGGAAAGCTTTAACTTCCTGACGAGGGGTATTGGTATGTATTTATGTTTAGGGGTTTGTTGTAAGCTACCTATATTAGGTGCAAAGATGATGAATGATGTATTAACTCGAATGATGATGATAATTATGTATGGTTAGTCTTATTATTATTGCTTATATAAAATGATAGTTTATGTTTGTTTTCATGTAATGTTATGTTATTTGGTTAATCCGATTATCCGATTAACCAAACCAATTAAACTTTGGTTTGGTTAATTTGGTTTTCGTGTTAATTTGGAAGATTTCATTAAGACATTTTATTCCATAGTTAATAAAATTTAGGCTTAATTGGTTTGGTTATTACCACGGTAACCATTTGAACACCTCTAATTGTGATGGCTTTGTAGTTTGCGTAGGAAGTAGAGAAAGAGGAGAGTTAATAATTTATTATTTTATAGAGTAAAAGTATTTATCTTTCACTTTTTGTTTATTGTAATTTGTAAAAGGATCGTTTATAGTCTCAAACAAGTGACTTCTATATTCTAAAGTATTTATCTGTCGAGTTAATCGGGGTATATGTATTTGGTAAAGTTAAAGGTTTTTCTTTAGTTGAAGATTTTAAATGATTAACCTTACATTTATATACGGTTATGTATAAATGAACTCAAGCTAATAAAAGAACATGATATCAGCAAGTGCGATAGTGGGCACAAATTTATATGCGTTTATCTGCAATAATCAATTTAATGGTTGTATTTCGAATACTTAGATTTACGCTAAATTGCTTTATTTGGTAATTTCTTTCTCATTCTTATTAGTCATAGTTGCATCTCTGTTTCAGGTAAACCATTATGGGAAAGAAATGTAATTTATGAAGCAGATTCATGGGTTACTTTTGCAGGGATTCAAAATTGGAGGCTTCTGAGAGCTTCACGGCAGGCATTATTGTCATTTCATTCTCCTGGCCGCTTAATGAAGTGCTCCGTTTTGAGCTGGCCCGTTGGCCGTCTAGCTGGATTAAATTAGTGATTGTTTTTGGGCCGATCATAGCAGCCAACAGGGAATGACACTGAATAGTAGTCCAATCTCTTTTCATAATGAAATTTGTTATTGAGGCAACAGTTGAAGCTGTCGATGTATTCTGGACACCTACTTTTCAGAAGTACATGGTTGAATTGACTGAAAGATGGAGCTTTGAAGATCAGTGTTGTGTTCCTGTCATCTGACTTTAAGAAAATAGGCAGCCAGCTCTTCCCGAACCCAAGAATCGATTGGACTACTACTTTTGAAGCCAACCTGAGATCTATTACTCACAAATCTCTCATTTTCATAGTTGAAGTTGGATGTGTTAATGAGGTCACAAATCAGTGTCTTTTAGTGGTTAGTAAGTTGTTCGGGTAGTGTTCCTCCCCATATATCATTTAGTAAGTTAATGTCCATTTGGTGAACGTTCGAAATTGGGTAGTTACACATTTCAAACTATGTTTCTAATTTGGTACTTTATTAAATTATGAATTGACACTGTCGATGTATTCTGGACACCTACTTTTCAGAAGTACATGGTTGAATTGACACTGAAAGATGGAGCTATGAAGATCAGTGTTGTGTTCCTGTCATCCGACTTTAAGAAAATAGGCAGACAGCTCTTCCCGAACCCAAGAATCGATTGGACTACTACTTTTGAAGCCAATCTGAGATCTATTACTCACATATCTCTCATTTTCATGATTGAAGTTGGACGTGTTAATGAGGTCACAAATCAGTGTCTTTTAGTGGTTAGTAAGTTGTTCGGGTAGTGTTCCTCCTCATATATCATTTAGTAAGTTAATGTTCATTTGGTGAACGTTCGAAATTGGGTAGTTGCACATTTCAAACTATGTTTCTAATTTGGTACTTTATTAAATTAGGTCTTTTGATGTTTTTTACCTTTTGGTACTATGTTTTATTAGTATAGGGATTTGTAAAGTGTCAAGTGATGGCATTTTCAATGCTGAAATTCCATTTGCCAATTTGATTGCTCATTAGCTCCTATAATGAAATGAAGGAATTTGGGATTAGAAAGCAGTAATAGTAGCAGTGATGTTTGTTTTGTACATGGTTAACTCAACAATAAGCTAAATATCATAACTAAATATCAACAATAAGTTATATTTGTCAAATTTTACATCAACCACCCCTAAAACTGTTATTAGACTTACAAAATAACTTAGCGTTCACATATTTAGTACGCTTACAAAATATGAGACATAACATAGGAGTGTACCACTAATTACATTAATCCGATCATATTGACAATACCTACATGCTATTCAGTTATCCGATGGGAAGAACATTTTCACCAAGAATATATCAAAATAATTCCCCACGTCGTTCCAAGGACTAATTGTGACCATGGCCTCATATGATTTTTCACCAATCAAGTTGAGAAGTATAACATAATCGGCATTGTCAATCTCTGAAGGATTGACTACAGAAGAAATGATTCTTCGCAAGTATAATGATGGAAAAACGACCTCAACATCAGTTATATCATCTTCAATGGTCAAGTGAATCAAAAATACCCTGGATGCATTACACCAAGACCTCCTCAGCTCTATTACACGACCGGAGAAAATGTATGAAGTGCCATGATATAATTGAAAAGGAAGGGTTTTGCAAAAGTAAACAAATAAGATACAAATTAATAAGATAAGGAACAGAAAAAGGATAAATAACAAATATATTATCTTAGTCACCTGATTGTCACAATCCAATTGGTTTGGGATAAGATCTATGGTTTTAACAATCTCAGACATAGCTACGGCATTTTGATAATTCAGATTCACAACGAAATCATCACCGAGGGTAAAAAACCTATAATTTAAACAATTAGCAATTGCATTCATTATCTAGGAGAACACAAGAATATGATATTATATAGGGTTAGAACAGCAATACTTACGGATTCCATTGAGGTATGATGTCCATGTTGGTCAATATACGTTTCTGATTTCCTTCGGATCAATCTCTATTCTTTCAAGAACCTGTCGTGTTTAGGATCATTAAAAGAAATAATATCAGTTGTTGTTCTAGACCGCAGCACATATCCCCTTTCCAATGTTGAATTCTAACAATATGTTTTTCAATTGAATTCTCCTAATTACTTAAATAATTGTAAGGTTTAGGGAAGCATTTTATAATTGAGATGTTGCAATTTGGACTGACACTAATAAACTAAACATATACAAAAGAAGAGAAGTAAACAATACGAAAGAAAGGAGGACTCTGTCAATTCGTCAGAGTTTTTGTTATGGAACAGGATGCTGCTTCGTTTGACCTAATGCCCTGCTCACTCGAAATTTTCTTGGCAGGTCCTTTTCTCATCAACCAGTGTCTTAGTTGTATTCCATAGGCAATACGTAATCAAAATCTAAGAAAACAACTTTGATAAATGCGTCCTGAAGTACTGCTCATTCCTACGTCAAGATTAAATAAATAAGAATATATAATGTCGCTTATTTTAATAAATGGAACCACATTGTATCTAAAGGTATGGAAACTAACGTACCTGTGGAGCTGGCAAGTGTTTGCTGGGAATCTCTGATTGAAACATAGAAAAGCTATCCAAGGCCAAGGGTTTAGCAAATCGGGAGAAAAAGAAGTTGATTGGGAGAAGTTGCGAGGTGGGTTTACAGAAATCACCTTCCCACAATCAGAATAAAAGTTGGCATTTAGATAGGGGAGCAGGGGAGGGCATCCATGCAAGGAATTTATCTCCGCTTGCTGGTTTCATCGGAGAGTGAACAGAGGCGTAAAAGGGAAGAAGGAAGAGGAAACGTTTCCTCCCAATTTGGTTATTGTCTATTTAAGTTTAGGTTAATAGATACAGTAAAGAAAAAAAATTATAATTTAATTTGGGCTAAACATAATAGAAATGCAACAGATAGCCTTTGTGGTTTCAAATTGGACTAATGGGCTTCTATGAACGACCCAAAAATAATCACTAATTTAATCCACCTAGCCGGCCAACAGGCCGGCCCCTCTGCTAGTATGAATGAACCATAAACATAAAAAGACTTGGGCCCATAAACATCAAAAAGACCCAGCTCACTTTCTTGATATCAATTGAGCCAAAGCCCACGAAGGCTGATCGGAGAAATTTCGCCACGCACTTGTCAATGAATATTCCAGTATATCTGACGTGAGCTGGATATGTGCAGAACAGACACGTGTTGAGAAGGTAAAACAATATGAATAAAGCCAGAACAGAGGTCCTCTCGCATTAACGAACTGTTAAATCCATAGGAAGGAAGGAAGGAATCTACATAGAACTTTTTACTTTTGAGAGACGGGGAAAAACCAACACTGCAATCAAACTAATATTGTGAACTCTCAACGTGAAAGGAAACTACTAGAATTGACACACTGCAAATCTTCTCTCCAATACGACCAAATTTCAAGTTGCTATATGAACTTCTTCTTCTACTGTGGGTTGGGTGGGCGGCTGTTTGCAGCGGAGACTCTGGAGCCCCATTCCAACAGTTCTTTGCTGGTGTCATCCTTGTGAACAATCACCTCAATGAAGCACAAGCTATCCTTCTTTTCTCCTGTAGCCGTCTCAATGGCTTCAATCAACTCCTCTTCACAGTATACCTGTTGGAACAGTTTGGGGCAACATGGTCAGGTGAAATGCCCTGTTCAATAGAAAGCTGTGTTCGATTTGATAACTTAATTAATAAGATCTCACCTTAGTTGTCCAGACATTGCCTTCACCGTTATGAATTGCATCAACCAACCCGGTGTAGTTCCAGTTCTTGATCACATTGTACGGACCATCGTGGATCTCGACCTCGATGGTGTACCCACCATTGTTGATCAGGAATATGATAGTCTTCTGCTCATTTCTAATCATTGTTGAAATATCTTGCGCAGTCACCTGTCAATCATGCACACACCCATGAGGCACAAAGGTTAATTCCCGACCTACTTCAAACCACTGGACTTCCAGGGACAATATATAATTGGTCTCAGTTGCATACCTGAAAGCTACCATCACCAATGCAAGCAATCACACGCTTCTCCGGCACAGCTTGAGCATATCCAAGAGTAGCACCAACTGACCAACCTATTGAACCATACTGCATCTGAAATTCATACCTGAAAATCCAAAAAAACCCAATGATTCTCTTTGGTCGAAACAGCCCAAAGTCACTTACAAGAAGAAGGAATTTGATTGCTTACCCGCATCCCTCGGGCAATTTAAGCTTCTGGCAATTGAACCAGGAGTCTCCTGTCTCAGCAATCACAGCAGTCTCACCAGAGAGCATCTTCTGTATGTGCTGGAACAGCACATTCACCCTCAAAGGCTCCTTAGGCTCACCCTTCAGAGGAACTCCCTCGGGGACAAAGATCCTATGGTAGTTCTCATACGCGGTAGTGTTCTTCTCCAGCTTCTTAGCAAGCCCTTGCAGGAAATCCTTCATCAGAACACATCCAAATGCAGGGCCGTTGGCAATCACCACGCGGTCAGGCTGCACAACAATCGCCTTCTCCTTCTTGAGAAGCAACGAGTAACCAACAGAGCTGTAGTCATTGAAGATGGGCCCGGCGAACAAGTAAGCATCGGCCGATTCAACAATCTCGGCACAGAAGGCCGTGCTGACCGCGCCCCAGTAGGTCCCGATGAAACGAGGATGGTGCTCTGGGACTAGCCCTTTCCCAGAGGGCATCACGGCGAGAGCATAGCCAGAAGCATCCGCCAGCTCGACGAAAGCATCGCAAGCCTTGGCCACCCGAAGTTTGGGCCCGCCGACCAAAACTGGCTTCACCGCCTTGTTCAGAAACTCCGCAGCTGCTTCGATTGCGGCCTCCAGCCCCCGCTGATTGCTCAATCTACACGAAGCAGAAATCATACAAGAGATTAAACCCTAACATTAGCGGAAAACAGAGCAATCGAATGCAGAGTTGGGGAGAGAGAGAGGGGGAACTACCGTGGATTGAGAGAGAAGGGAACGGGGTCTCGGCTGAAGGTGGGGTGGGGAATTCCGGGCAAATTGCAGCCGACGCTAATGTAGACAGGCTTGCTCTCTTTCAAAGCAGTGGAAATCGCTGTGTCTATCAGCTCATGAGCATCTTCCAAGTTATTCACCACAGCCTGCCCCAAACCATCAAAGAGGGAAACAAACAAACAAAAAGCAGAGCAGTGAGCAAAATTATACCGAACACGGTTCACCATTATCGCTGAAATCAGGAGATATTTGTTGATTAATATTGAAATTAGAATAATACCTGGAAGCAGGTGACGGTCTGGAAGCATCGGAGCTCCTGAGTGAAATCGGGGAGGCCAATGGTGTGGTGGAGAACCCTGTTGGTTCCGTAATCGTTGGAGTTGGGGCCTCCGACGATGCAAATGACGGGGAGATTCTCGCTGTAAGCCCCGGCGATGGCGTTGAGAACGCTGAGACCGCCGACGGTGAAGGTGACGACGCAGGCGCCGACGCCGCGGGAGCGAGCGTAGCCGTCGGCGGCGTATCCGGCGTTGAGCTCGTTGCAGCAGCCAATGTTGGTGAGTCCGGGCTCGGCGATGAGATGGTCGAGGAGAGTGAGGTTGAAATCGCCGGGGACGGTGAAGACGTCGGTGATGCCGACCTGGACGAGGCGTCGGGCCAGGTGGCGGCCGAGCGTGGCCTCGGGATTCTTGGCGACGGAGGTCGGGATGGAGTTCTGGATGGTGGAAACGGCGCCGTTCGCGGCGGAGCACATGTCAGTGCGGTTGGGCATGCAGGCGTCGATTGATCCGATCTTAGTGTCCATGGCCAATCGATCGATCGAAGGTTTGCTAGCTTTTCTTCTGTTTCCGGGGAGAAAAGGACAGGCGGAGGGATTGTATTAATTGGGGGGACGAATCAGAAAGGCGCTTCGTGTGATGAGTAGGAGAGAGCTGTGAAGAGAAGAAGGGAAGGGCTGGATATTTATAGTTATAGGAAGGAGGAAGAAAAAGAAAAAGAAAAAGCGAGGAAGGGCGCGTGGGACTAGTGGTGGTTCTTGTGAATTGTGATACCATAGCTGGCTGCGTAGCGGGATTAATTACCAGCGGCGGTTGTGGTTTGGGGAATACGTAAGTGGGATTAATTTTAGAGCTGTCTGGGCGTGTGGATAATTATGGATGGCTTGGCGGGTACTGATCAAATAAGGACGAAAAGTGCTAAAAGTAAAAGTTTGGGGAATAGAAAGGGGGTTAAGCGTTGTTTAGTGATGATTATGTAGGGTTTGTTTGATTAAAATAAACAGGTGTCTAATTAATTTTTACTCTTGTTCCAATACAATTCATGGTATTTACCACGTATGGTAAATTGGTAATTGCTTGACACTGGCATGTGAGTACATGTTGCATGAACCGTGCATTTGTTTGCCACGATGAGTTTGCAAGATTTTGGCTCCCGACTCATTTTTAGTTTTTTTGTCATAGACATTTATTTGATTTGATTATATCGTTACAAGCTGATTATCAAATATTTAGACTTTTTTTTCATAAATTTTACTATATGTATTTAATTGTTAAAATTGTATAGAGACAATTAAAAAAATGTCTGCCCATCACCATGTAGGGAAAAAAAATACCCTATTATGATGTTTCCAATACAAATAACAAATTCATTTGAAAAGAAGGGGGGAAACCCCCTTATTCAGTTCAGGATTTCAATGCAAGAAAGTTCTAATACTTTGTACCAATAGTAATTTCTTACACGTTTTGAACAAAATTACTCTTTTGAGAGATTGAAAAAAAAAAGAATTACTTGAATGCCAAGAGCCGAGTTATTAGCTGCGCAAGTAGTGAATTGTTTGAGCTAGCCTATAACTGGCAAATATTTGAATGAGGTAATAGTGATTGAACTCAAATTTGTTGACCATTACTTGAGGCTCAAGGGGCGGGTAAGTATTTTTTTCACAAAGTGTGGGGAAAAGTTTTAACCGTGAATTGATACGATCGGGTTGGATAAATTTCAAGTATTCAACTTATGGTGGGAACCAAAAGGGGAATCCCTTCTACTATCTCTGTTTGGTTCTTAATAAAGTGGACTGCAAGAAAACAACGGTCAAAGAAACGTCAAACATTACACAACCCAAATCTTGCAAGTTGCACCCCATGTCAAAATATATATAATGGTTTTCAGGGGGAGCAGTTGTTCTGGATTCTGGCCCGGTTTTGGACGTAGTTTAGTAAAGTCGATTTTTCCTTAATTTTTAATATTTGTTGTGGTCTGGTTTTTGTTATGACTTATAAGTGACCACCAATTTTTTTTTATTTCGTTTTCCTGTTGAATTTGAAAAATTAAAATTGTAACGAAAAAAAAGTTTGAATTCAATATGTTTTTGTTACATTATGAATTTTAAAATTTTATTGTTTGCATTATAGATTTGGATAGTATATTTTGATAGTTTTGTTGCATAGAGCACTAGCTATTATAGAATTTACAAATCTCAACCTAAAATATTAGATTTTCAAATTTGTGAACTTCTCGCACTTGATATTTGTCAACAATATCGTAGCCATGATTTGATACAAGGGAGTTCCGGCATAAGAAGTATCATGGACTTTTATATTTTGAAAAGGTTACCATCGAGAATTTCATATGTAATGTATATATTCAACTTAAAATAATGAGAATTCTTTTAGTAAAGGTAAGCAACGGGAGAAGTAGAATTTAGTTGTGTGGGTGTTAATTTTAGACTAATCATTCTTTGGTGAATTTTATAGTAATAAATATTACTTATTGAATGTTGACAAAAATATTAATATTTTTTTCTTCTAAACAACTAATTTAGGGGTGCAAGTGAGTCCTTATTTCTATTCTAGACAGTGCTCATATTCGTATCATACTAGTAGTCCGGCCAAGAAAACCTCATATCGAAAGCTAAATAAGTTGACGATTGTTGGCAGCATGAAACAATTGAATCACGATTAAATTAAAACTTCAATATAAAATATTTTATCGCTGACTTTTCTGCCACACTCATCAGTCGGTTTGATGATACTCAATTCTAGCTAGATGGATTTTACTTCCAATAATATCTATATTTTCTTGTTGCGAGCCCAAGGCAAGGAATGTCGTGGAACCCTCTTCTTTCATGCTAGCGCCCATGTACATCAACAGACAATGGAATTGGAGTAAATCCCTGAAACTTTGAAATTTAAGTACCAAATTCATAACATAATTAGTAAAATACTATACGAGTAAGTTATGTAAAAAATGCGTGCAAATTTTTTATTTTGTCTCTAAACTAATGATATGTTTAATAGTACGTCAATAGTTATAAAATATATAAAATTAATTATTTTATAAATAAGTTAATATATAAACAATAGTTAAGTTACCAATTTAATTCATTAAATACGAATATTAAACGTATTATAATTTATACGAATTTTATGTGTTTAGTACGAGAGACTACAAATAAATAGAAAAAATTAAACGGCTTGACAATAATACGATACTAAAATTTTAATCAGATAAAATACATAAATTCATATAAACCTGTATTAAACAGAATATTTACATTTCATAACCCAAATTCCATCAACAAACAAACCTTCGTTCAAACTAGTCCAATAAACGAGGAATTTTACAATGATATATAGTATTGGTGCTATAGGTTTTTGTCTTTATAGTACATCTTGAAATTGTACTTTTAACATTATGGTACAACTTCAGATTGTACCTATACTTTTTGTACAAATTCTTTTATGGTACAACTTAAACTTGTACCTTTATGTGATGATACAATTTCAAATTGTAAAGTTGTACCATAAAATAATGATACAAATTCCTTTATAGTACAACCTAAACTTATACATTTAATGTTATAATACAACTTCAAGTTATACAATAAAGCACCAATACACTATATAGATGCTTCCAATAAACACGACCTCGTGGTGCTACAAACCAGTAGGAAAGGCTCGATCAACTTTTTGACAAGGCCGAGTCCCTGGTTTTCTGAAAACCAAAGATGTGTATTATTGGCTTAGCTGTAACACAAAAGCGGTAATGGCAAGTGCGAGTTCTCATTAATTTTTTTGACAGGTCGCTCTCATTCATCTTAAATCCATTAAAATTGGACAAATTAGGGAATTTGTTTTGGAGAGTGGATGAGTAAAATATTGGAGAGGAGGAGAGGTGAATTGCTGCGATGCACGTGGAGGACATGCATGTACATACGTATTTTTATTTTCATTCACGTCATTTAGTGTTTATTTATGTAAGCATTATGGTTATTCATGTAATAATATAAGTTATTCAAAAATTAGACTTTTTCTCTAATAAATTGTATTTGCTATATTTTATGTAATTAAATTTGAATTCTCAATTAATCTGTAAAAATGTGTTGCATTGATCATAATCTCTACACAATTACATCTACTTTTACATATTTCAAAGTTTAAAATTTAATTTTACAACGACGTTAATAATTTCAGTGAAAGGGCGTGCTCGAGGAGACTCTGATGGGACTTTGTATGGTGGATCTTTGACTCGAGATAGCATCCCCGATCAAGGTTTTTTAGGCTAATGCCTGGAGTTTAGACTTGCAGATCGCAAGGAGGAGGAAATAGCCAGCTTGAGAACACCATAGGATGCTACCAAAAACCTTATGGAGGAGATGGCAGCAGTATTGTGGCCAGTAGCGGAAGAAGAGTGACCACGATGAGAGGAGCAGGTGCAGTGGTCGATGCCGCTACGACACCCGGTGTAGCTCGACTAGGACCCTGAGCCCCTCCAAAGGGGTTCGCCAGGTTGTCCCCAGTGGAGATCGAGCAGAAGAGGCGGGAAGGGAAATGTGTTAACTGCAACGAGAGATTCACCTTCAGACATCAGGGAGCGAGCCCGGTTTGATGATGTTGTTGGGACGTTGGGAGGATGAAGCTGAGGATGAGACGGAGGAGGCAAGGAAGAAGAACCAGAACATGGAGGATCAACCTTGAGTCAAGGATGTTCTCAAGGAGGACGAGATGTTAGAAACACAGATATTTGTTATTTTAAGCATTTGAACTCATTTGTCGTTTATTGACGTTTGTGACACTTAGGAATTATTTGGCTATTTTTAGAATAATTAGGGAGTATTTCGTTAAGTCATATTGTTTGAGTAGAAAAATGAAATTTATCAAGTTATATATTCTATAATTAGTAAGATTATTAATTACGCAATTATAGAACGAAAATCACTAAACCCTACTCCCTTCCTTCCTCCCTCTTTCACGTCGAGTTTTTTCTCTCTTTCTCCTAGCTACTACCACAACTTCTTCTTCCTCTTTCCCTCCTCAATTTCAAATTTCCATTCCCAATCTCCTTCCAATCCCTATTGATCTAGCTAAATTCTCCATTTTATGCATAAAGTTGGGAGCCCAAGATCACTGTTTCTAATATGAGGATCATGATATTCTTTCTTCTTAGAGGCTACAATAGAGGGTTCTCATCATCTTGTGTTGAAATCATCCCATTAATAAAGTCGATCTTGTTACCAAGTGCGCTGTACATAGCATTGCTCTGGTCGTTGTAGTTGGTGGAGGTTAACTTCTCACCTACCAGAATCAACCTGATTGCTCTGGACATGAAGGTGATGGGGGCCATACATTAGGTCTTGCATCAGCCGTAGTTGTTGTTGGCCCAGCATTGTGCTTGGCTGCTTGGGTTTACCATCTAAGCTCACATATCATAACACCAAAAATTAGATGAAAACCTTAAACTTAGGTTCTTCTCATTCATCATTTTGGTTAGGGCTAGGCAAGTGGGTAGTTGATCCGCAACCTCGATCCATCCGCAAACAAGTCGAACCGTAGTGGGTGAGTTATTAATGTGAGTGAATAGCGAATTGATAAATCTCCTATTTGCACTTAATCGGGTGGATGATGGATGGACAGTGAGTCACCCGAATCACTTGCACTATATTTTCACATGAATATGGTGTTTCTTATTTACTATCGAATAGTCATCATATTTACTAAGCGCACTTCACGATAACTATTGACTTCCATAGATGGAGAATAAATAATATTTTTCCACTAATATTATTGGTTGCTATGTTCTCAGATAATAGGATGTAAATTATAAACTATTTATTGTATCAAAGTCGCAAAATGCGTTAATTTTCTCTACGCAAACGGTTGATGGAGTAATGAAAAATATAATGCAAATATTACACGGATCCATATGAGACTAAGTCAGAAGTGTCTAAACTGATATAGTCTTAATAATTTGTGAAGAATTTATTATAAATGTTATTCAATTTTCTTAATTACTAGATGGAGAATTGGTTTTACGGGTTGACCCAAAACCCAACCGCATCTATCAGCCACCCATCCAACCCAATTCAAAGGAGAATGTGGGTGAATAGCGACAGATTACAATCAATTACACCAATCCGCTAGTAGGTCATTTGAAACCAAACCCCACCCAACCCGCTGATTCCCCACCCTGAATACCTAATTTTGGTTTAAACTTTAAAATCAAGGAGCAAAGCAAAAAAAGACAACGAGCAACTTATTAGCTATTATTTATAGAGGAAAAACATACAGAACAAAAGACAAGGAAACAAAGTCTGAAGTGTGAAAGGGGAAACATGCTACAATGACGCCTCGTTCTTATCTCTAAGATGTCTCAAGCAAGAACTGAAATATTATATAGAGATTGTACTGGAAAAGTTAACAATGAAGTATTTTATTATGAAATTATAGTTTATTGTAATTTAACAATTTCATATTGTTAATACTGCATACCAATTTAGCCTTCAATATGAGTTTTTCTGGTCGAACCTTTGATACGATATGATATTTTACTCCTTGGTCTCAAGACAAAGTTGCTCCACTCGAACAACATAATTGCTTGTGCAACTTCGGGCTCGAGTCCTAAACTGATGGATCAACACTGGTTAACCATCCTACTCACCTTTCTTACAATGCATTAAGATCAGGGCCATTAATCGTTACTAAGGAGTAAGGGGTCGTTTGGTTTTGATGATTGTTTGGTGGGGAGTTACAATGCATGTATTGTTCACAATGCATTGTATTTTTTTTTTTTGAATTTCTGCACAAACAATAATGCATTTTTGAATTTCTGTACAAACAATATATGCATTATTTGCTTGATTTGACACAAACTATCCACTAAAAAAAAAGTAGGTTTGGGGACGACAAAAGTTGTCCCCGGAAATAGGAAAAATTGTCCCTATAACTTTTGGGGACGACTAAATCGTCCCCAATATATGGTGCCCTATACTCTTGTCCTCTATTCTTTTGGGGACGACAAAAATATAGGTCGTCCCATTACTAGGGACGACTGTCGTCCCCGATACTCACAAGTCGTCACCTCATTTTTTTCCATGAAAGACAAAATGGCGTCCCTATAACTATAACTTTAATGACATTAAGTCGTCTCCTAAACATCATTTCCAGGGACAAACTATTGTCCCACATAATCGATTTCATTATTGTGCTGGACCTATATGGGGATAATATATCGTTCCCATTTCTTTTTATAGGATCGACATGTCGTTCCTATAACTATCAAATTGGAGTCCAAATATCGTCCCTAAAAGTTTTATTCAAGGACTACGAGTGGTCTCTTATACTAAATATTTAGAGACAGCTAGTTGTCACCTATGCTTTTTAGGGACGAACAATTGTCCCTTGACCTATGTGTTGAAGGACGATGAGTTGTCTCTTATGGACCTTTTGGAAATGACTAATTGTCCCTTATGTAACTCGTATAAACAACTTCTTGGCTCTTAACATATTTCTTTTGGGATGTTAATGGTCTTGTAACCTTAATCCTTTTAGAGATGAGAAATTGTCTACTAGAGTAGACTCCCAACCAAAACTTTGAAGTTGGTAACGAGGACAAGATTTTAATCGAAAGCTCAGGCAACATCTCAACTATTATTTCAATCCACGAGGAAACATTGTACACTTGCATAAATAAAATTCAATATAGAAAATAAAAATAAAAGTCGATTTGGCAAAGAAAACGCCAAATCACCAAAACAAGCACCAGTATTCTTGCTAGATCTCTGTGGCGAACTGCTCTTTCCATTGCTTCATTCGCTCCCTACGTTATGTTTCCCTCTCCCTTGCCTAATCTTCGCCATCTCCAGTATCCATCCCACGAGAATAACAACCAAAAACCCGTCATAAGCTTAGGAAATTACAGATATAATAAAAATGAACAATATCAACCACTTGTACAAAAGAAACTCATAAGTCATAATATACTCCATTGAAATCCAAAAAAAAAACTTATAAGAATTATATTTGAATTTGTACCATATATAGCCGACTAGGACGAAAGCAAGGGAACGGTGATGAATATGGGATTGATAAGCGCCTATTTGGAGCTTGAAGAAACAGCGACGTCTGATATTATGTAAAGATGGGGAGGTAGATTCGTCGCCGGCAGTCCTATCGAATAGACAAAAGAAGGAAGAGAGTGGAGGCCATTTAGGCGACTGGCGAGTGAAATGGATAGATTGGGTAGAAGTAGGGTTTGTAGGGTTTTTATTTCGATTGATGGTGTGGATGAAAGATTGGGTAGAAGTAGGGTTTGTAGGGTTTTTATTTCGATTGATGGTGTGGATGAAGATCAATTAAAGGAACGGTTGAGATGAATTGAGATGGAGGGTTCTAGAATAAGAGTTTATATTTTTTCCTTAGTAAAAACGAGGGATTAAGTTTAACTCATTGACTTCAAAAGAAAGTTAAACTAATTCGGAGTTATTGATCACCTACGGAATATTAGGGGAAAAAGATGCCATATTTATGAAATTACATTAGGGATGAAAACGGATTGGGGCGGATAGTACATATCCGTTACCCTATCCAAAATAGTTTAAATTTTCTATATAAAAATCGGGTAGAAAATGCAAATCGCGCCTATATCTATTCGGGTTTCGAGTATCCACGGTTATCCATGGATAATTATTTCTTTTTATAACTTCAACCAACATGTTAACATTTACACATGTACTCATATTACATAAGTGGAAAAGTATGATAGTAATTCACCATAACGAAGAAAATAAATTTTAAATAACACAATTTTATTTAAATATTATATTTGTAGGCTGAATATAAAATATGTTGAGAAAAATAATGGTTTTGAAGTTGTGATTTCCTATAAATTTTGACATGATATTCGAGGTTGATGATTCCTTTCTTTAGTGATGATGCATAGGCTTTGTTTTCATAACCGGACCGGACGTTGAACCGGAAAAGTTAGTGGTTTAGGGTTCAGTGGTTAACCGTTACAAAAGCGTTGGTTAATCGTTGATAGAATCGTTCCTGATATATAACATATAAGACTTGTATAATAAGGTGTCAGTCAGTAGTGGACCACGTAAAGTCGACAACAAGATTGGAAAGTGAGAAGAGGTCAAGAGGAAGCAAAAATAAAATTAATAATTATAATTTAATGGTCTTAGTTTATATTAAGGTATATTTTTAATTGTAGTTGAAATAGTGAACCGGTGGACCAATTAAACCGTGGTGGTTCATCTGGTTTTATGTTGAACCGTGAAAAATTGTTTGATTCTTCAATAATCGTACAAAAAATGAACCAGACCGCTATTGTAATTGGTTTGATGGTTCTACTAGCCCACTGTTGATCTGGTTCGGTTCTTATAACAATGTGGATAGGTGTGTCTTCTAAGATGATAGATGATCTCCATGTAATTTGTAAGAATGACCAATTATCAATTACCATTTGTTTTCGGGGATGACCAATTGTTAGTACTTAGTATGTGTCTTCGAGGACAACTACACATAACTTGTAGGGACGATCACTTGTCCCTTAAGTATTACATCTTTGGGGACAGTAAATCGTAACCTATGTAACTTTTAGTTAAGAGCATGTGTTCTTGAAGTGCTATATCTTTGGAGACGACAAATTCGTAGCATATGTAACTTGTAGTTATGACCACGTGTCCCTTAAGCATTGTCTTTAGCGATGAAAACCGTCACGGATATGAGTTATAAAAAAGTCCCTCAAGTGTTGTATCTTTAGGGGTGGTAAATCGTAACCTATGCAAATTGTAGGTGTGATCACGTTTCCCTTAGTGTTATATCTTTGGGGACAACACATATTAACTGACTTAACTTGTAGTTATGGCTACATGTTGCTTAAATAGTGTCTTTAGGGACGACAAATCGTCTCCTATATGATTTATAGGGACGACCTGTTGACCTTAATCCGTAAATTTTGATATTATATTCGAGGAGAAATTGTCCCAAAAATATTAATTCTCCTAAGAAAACAATTCTCACCAGAAATAAAAATAGCCAAACCAAAGCAAATAAAAGTTATGTGTGGGACAAAGAACACAACTCATAAACTTGACACAATTTGTTTTTCGTTTCACCCTAATTGTAGGAGAATAGTTCGGTCCAAAAAGTGAAAGCAATTTCCATAGCTCCCGCAGATCACCGATTAAGCATTTAATTTATGGTACGGATCTCTGGGACGCGTAAAAAAATGTCAAATTAATTAAATGTTTATCGCCTGATTTATAGAGACGAATTAATCCGTTTGTCCCTAAAATTACTTAAAATGATATTTCTCGGTACCAAATTAAACCTTTGTCCCCTATGTTTGTCCCCAATGTTTATTGGTTTTGTAGTGATCACTCAAAATGAGTGACAGTTAAATCTCAAGTTTTTTGTGAGATTGTTGAGATTGTTTGGTAGAGATTATAGAGTTATTTTTTCTTTCAACTATATCCCTACCTTTTCATGTGTTACTTTTTTATATTAAAAGCAAAGGGTAAAAGTGACATTTCATCCAAAAAAAATATCTTATTTAAATACTACAATAACTATCACAAAAATCAAATGATATAAACTGCAATACACCAATTTTCTTATATACATGCATATTAGTACACATGCATTGATGACAATCCATCCATTTAACTATCACCAAAACCAAACCAACCCTAAGACTTTAGCTTTATTTAGTGAGGAGGGTTTCGTCCAAGCTGAGATTAATTCATTCAGCTTGAAATGGCTACGAGGTCTTATTTCCATACCTCCTGTCAATTAGATTTGCAGACTAGTTTACCTGATCCACGCACATAATGCACAGTATCTATTGCATACTATTCGGTCACTAAATCCGAGACCATACAGGGTTTATCAATTGGCCATTTTATATTTGCATTGCATTCTATAGTTTTCTCTGCTATGTACACTGTTCGCTAATAATATACCCACAAAAAGATTTGTTAGCCAATAGTGTCCGACATCTCACTTGATTGCCGGCTTCTGGCGAATTTTAGTAAATTGCACTTCTCCATTCAAAACGGAGCTTATGAATGCCTCTACTGCTTCTATAGTCATCTCGCCTTCAAACTTTGCAAACTTCCCCTTTCGAGGCTTGTACGCAATTAAAGTTCTGTCAGCCGACTTGAATCCATACCTGTCGAATGCGTTCATGAACGTTTGCTGTGCTGCAACATCTAACATTGCGTAGGAGACGGCGTCCTGAGAGCTTGATGCTGAGTTCGGTCGCCTGGATAAGGATTTTTGAGAAACCTGAAGCAAACCAAACCATTTGTCAACTTGCAACTCTATGATGCTTATAGAAAAGATTGCACATTGTTAACCAACAGATGCAGAGTTCACTTACCACAGACAGAATAGATGCCAGCTTCTCTCTTGCTGTTGAAGATCTGTAAGCACCAATTATACAAACCGGGATCCTCTCCCCACATACATCATTATAAGTTAATCCGTCAAGCAGTGGTACTCTGTTCTCAGCCTGCGAGGTTTTGCCCTGATTTGGAGCAACCTTCTTATTCTTCCTCTCAAACCCATCGAGTACGTTGCCAAGATCTTTAATTCCAGACTTCAGATCTTTCACTGAAACACCTGTCTTTAGTACATGCTTCTCTCCATTTGATAGCCAGCCGACGATGGCCGGAAGTTGGTCCACTCCTAGCTCCTTCACCATCGGATCATTAACATCATGGACCTGGTGGATACACATTGGCCTTGTAAGTAAGTTCAAGCCATGTAGAAAATTAGAAAACTAAGCATGGTTTAGAAATGGACCATATACCTCAACATCGTTAAATGTAAAGCGCTTATGATACAAGCCACTGAGGGCACGCCAGATCACAGGCGTATCACGTTTGGTGGAAAGAAGCAAAACGCTAGGCAGTTTCCCCCCACCATTGGACAAAGACTTCAAATTGTTAAGTTTTATCCTTGTTGAGAACCTCGGCAGATGGTCTTGGCAAAATGCCTTCAAATTCTTTGGGACCAAATCACCTGTATACTCCACCAAAGAACCCTCATTGTTTTCCTTATAGGTATAAAGAAAAACCCTGGGCTCCTTGCGAGGGTTTATGCCAAGCTCCATGCACAGAGATCTCTGAGTCTCACAATGTATGCTCCCAACCTTCAACAAGGTGAGATAGACTCATTATGTGGAGATACACTAGCTATGGGAAAGCACATACTGAAAGGGAAACGAAACGAGTGGTTACCTTTAACGCTCCTTGAAGTGGATCAGAAACCTCCTGTATGATTGACTCATAATACTCGGTTCCCCTCACAGAGGGAGTATATGACAGTATAAGCCACGTGATTCCTTGATCGATAACTTCTTTCTTATAGACTTGAGAGTTAATGTCCTTGATGCTCTTAGGAGAAGTTGTAGAGCCAGATTGAGACCTCCCTTGAGACCTAGTTGAGCGACCAAAGCTGCTAGCCTGAGCCCCACGTGATTTATCTCCAAAGAAATTTGAAAATAGGTCATCCATCCCAAAACCGAATGAGTTCTGAGCACTAGGACCACCACCAAAGGAAAACGAGAATGACTTGGAACCTCCTTTCCCTCCCATATTCTGCCATTCCCCTGGCCTAAAGCTAAATCCACTTGAGCCCTGCCCTCCTGTGTAGTGTCTATACCCCCCATCATCTCCGGGGTAACCAGAATCAAATCCAGAGTTTCCCATTTCATTTCCATATAGGTCATAATTTTTCCGCTTTTCTTCATCTGAGAGGATCTCGTATGCTGTTGAAACATGAAAAGAAAATTAACACTGCAACATGGAAACATTTGGTTACACAGAAAGAACCAAGAAAAGTAGCCATTTGAGTACCGTTATTGATCTCAGCAAACTTCTCTTGGGCTCCCTTCTTTTTGTTCTTGTCAGGGTGATATTGCAGAGAAAGCCTACAAAATGGCAGCACGACCAGAATAAGCACTTTAACCCACCAATATGCAGAAAAAATGAATACCAAGCCTCTAAGATAGATCAATAAGGGTCTACCAACAGAGGTGATGCAGGCATATTCCATATTTGTGAGTAACAAATTGCATTTGAAGAAGCTAGTTGGTACTATACTATCATCATCTATTACCAGCTTGATAACTAACCGAAACAACCTCCATAACTAAGTATTTTCTCCTCCACCAAGTAAAAGAACACACGAACTCAAATAACAATACTAATAAGCAGTCAAGGTGTCTGTTGAAGATGTACTCTTCACCAACAAGGACATCATTCTGAACACCTAAGACTAGTTCCAATAATGCACTGAACGGAAAGCAAAGGATTAGACGCAAATATTCTTCACTCGTTTAGCCATATCAAGCACATAATCAATTCTTAAATATACTCAATAGAACAGATTGCCCAGAAATCTAAATGCTATAAAAAGCAGCAGCGAGGTTTCTAGTTTCTACTAACTAAAATATCAAACCCATTTAAACTTGAAAAAGGAGATAAAGGGCATACTTGTGGAAAGCTTTCTGTATTTCTCGTTGGCCTGCGTTCCGCTCAACCCCAAGAACCTGAAATAAGAATCGATTCCATCAATGGATCAACACATAAGAAACTGGAACTATAAAATCCAAGCTTCACAAGACTTCTATAAGCATTCTTTCTTAAGGAGAACTTTGCATTCAGACTTTTAAGAATTTCACAATAAACCCCTCTTTCCTGGGAATCAAGCCATCAATAAGCAAGCTTAACTAGCACAAGATTGTTAAAACCGAACCAACCATCAGAACAGACAACCCAAAACCCCATCTTACGAATCCAACTGCACAAGTGCGATTTCACATGCTAGATTTGAACAGGGGAGGAAAACTCCCAACAGAGCAATCACAGGCAACAATGTGCAATGGCATTCTTAACCTCGGCTCAATCAGCCCGGTAGGGCTACGGCGCAAGCTATCAACAGACTGAAACTACGAGATCATGAAAACTAAGAGCAAAGATGTTACCTTGTAAGGGTCGACATTTTTGGCTGCCTCGGTCAGCAGAATCAGGGAGAGACCGATGATCGCTGCCAATGCCAGGCCGCCTCCATTGATCTTCATATCCGAAGAACTCGCCAAAGCAACCACGCGATATTTTTCAGTTAAGGGCTTTGCAAGAGGAGAGGAACAATAGTGGAATGAGGACGAAAGCAAGGGAATTGAACTAAGGAAAAGGCGAGGTTTCAGTATTTTCGCGGGGTTCGGGAAACTCTAGACGTTTCCGGTAATTATACATAGTTGATTGCCTGCCTCGCTGACGTTGGTATACGTGGCACTGCTGGATGGCTACACGCCAATCAACCAATAGGATTTCAGAATCCGCTTTGTTTACATTTAGCATTATGGGCTTGTTCTGGACACCTTTGTTCCAGATTCTGTACTTCCTTATGGGCCGGTTCTGACATTTTTCAGGCTAGAATCTTGTAGATGGAAGATTGTGAACGATGATGGGCATGGATTCTCTTCTTAGGAACTTCTTTTGGTAAGGGTCGATGAACAAAAGATCGATTCCATGGCGCAAAGGGGAAGTACTTACTGACCCGAAATTTGAAGGGGGGCTCGGTTTTCGTAATTTCCACATGTTTAACCTTTTTTTGGTTGCTAAACAGGGTTGGAGGCTTCTCAATGATCCAGAATCTCTGTGGGCTCGTCTCCTCAAGAGCCTGTATTTCCCTGACTCTGATTTTCGCTATGCAAAAAAGGGGAGCTCGGCCTCATGGATCTGGTCTAGCCTCTGCGATGCAAGGAAAGGATGGACTTGGGAACTATCCGTGTCATTGGTAATGGAGATGATACATGGTTTGATAGGGACCCTTGGATCCCATCTTTTGAAGGCCACAAAATATCATCAAGTAACATGCCCTAGTCAAGAGTTAGTGACTGGATCGATGAAGACTCGCGTCATTGGAATTGGAGTTTGGTCCATAATCATTGTTTTCCTTTGGAAGCGGAAGCGATTGCTAAATATCAGATTGGGCCAATCGAATCCAAAGACAAATGGGCATGGAAGTTTACAACTAATGAGAGGTTTTCTGTGAAATCGGCCTACCATGGAGTGAGGAGACACTTCAGACAGCTTGGAAATCAACCCATGCAAGATCTTAATGCTCCATCTGCCGACGACTCTTGGAAATGGCTTTGGTCTCTCAACCTCCCACCAAAGATTCGCTTCTTATGGAGGTGCCTCCGCAATGCTCTGGCAACAAAAGCTAATTTGCACCACAGACATTGTGCTCCTAACCCCCGTTGCCAGATTTGCAATGCCGATTGTGAGTCTCTCATCCACTGTCTCTTTATTTGCCCTCACGCAAAGGAGACTTGGGAGAGGATCCTCCCGTCATGCACCCCTCCTCTGAATTTCACGCAATGGTTCTTCTCATTTAGAGATGCGGAGACTCTTCTGTCTCTCCGTCTCAAGGCCTTTTGCATGTGTAACATTTGGAAAGCACGGAACGACTTCATCTTCAGAGGCAACAACTTGTCCCCATTGTTGTCCTCAATCACAGCTTTCCGAGAGGCTTCTGAACCTACTCATTGTCGTAACTCTCTCTTCCCTACAAACCAGCCAAGGGACACTCCATCTCAATCTCTTCCACCGCCATGTGATGACCTTATTAGGATCAACTGCGACGGGTCATTTGACAATGATTCGTCTGAGGCGGCTTTTGGGGTAGTTATTACTAATTCCCATGGTCAGATTTGTGATGGGAGGGCTGGCAGGGTCATTTGCTCGTCCCCGATTGAGGCTGAGGCCTTTGCTCTTGTTGAAGCGTGCCGGATGGCGGCCCTTGACAACTCTCCTACTGTTATCCTTTCGGACTGCAAGATTTTGGTGGATGCGCTTAAAGGTGATGAATCAATCTGGCCATGGCGGTGCTTTGCTCTTCTCTCTCATGTGAAAGAGTTGCTCCTTCAGTGTAGATGGATTCATATCTCTTTCACCTGTCGTCGAGTGAACAAATGTGCCGATTGGGTCGCTCGTAATGCACGTTGTCGTTCTCTTCTGCCTGATTGGATCTCGGTCCTTTCTATTGTGGCACCTTTGCTGTAAACCCTTCCTCTTTCAGGATTGAATGAATGAAATCTTTATTCAAAAAAAAAAAGAACGATGATGGGCATGTTTAGGGTTAATGCATGTTTGGTCACTGAGATTATAAAAAACATTTAAGTTTGGTCACTTAATATATTTAAATTCATTGGTGGTGTTTCAGTTTACTGAAACTGTTCACGTTTGGTCACTCTTCGTCCAACTCCGTTAACTTTGGCTGGTATGGCAGTCAACTCTGAAAGTTGACTGTTAACTTAGTGACGTGACAATTAAGAAATAACAAATAAAATTTAATCTATTTAATGTCCAACTCATTTTTACAATAAAATAAATAAAATAAAAATTATAAATTTAATCTATTTTTATCCCGCGCTCGTTCCCCTTACTCTTCTGAGAACTAGGACCAGAAGCTTCTCGTAGAACGTGACGGAGACTATCATCCGACCGCCGTCAGGGCAAAGATTGACGCCGGAGGGATTCGAGCACTGTGCATTGCTTGATGACGAACGTGGAAGCTTGGGCCGATCTGAAGGCAAATATGCTGGAGATTCGGCACGTTGGGAACGACAACGGCGAGGAGGTTCCTCAACATCTTGCCATTGATCTTGCAGTTCTCTGACTCGGTGGGGCGGTCGGCCCACGTGACGTAGAAGACGTGGATGACGTCGGGGAGTGGGGAGAGCTTCGAATCGACGTCGGAGGCGTCGGCGATCGCACTGGATGTACTCGATTGGGTGGTCGGAGTTCCAATTGGGGCGAGGATGGCGAGCTACGTCGTAGACGTTCCATGGCCCAACGGGAGTGTCGGCGAGCGGGAGGATCTCGACCAAGCTGTTGCCCACGATTCCGGTGACGCCAACCACTAGGGCCACGCTCTGGTAGCTTCGCGGCGGCTCATCTTCATCGAGCTTCTTCTGCAGGGGGGAAAGATAAACCCAAATCGGAGACGAACCCAGTTTCGAACTGGTCATAAGCAGAGCTGGGTTGGAGAATTGGAGATCAATATGTTAGCACAAGAGATTACCTTAGTGGCTCCTATGGCGCCGACCCACCACCAGCTCATTCTTTCGGATGGAGGAAGATTGGGGAAGCGGAAAGAAAGGGAATTTGGTTTTTATGGGCTTCACGGCAACTGTATGATAAATATCAAACGGGAATAATAAAGAACACGGTGTTTACGTGGTATCCCCGAAGTGTCGGGACTAGTCCACGGGAGAGAGAAGCCTCTCCTGCTACTGATCTTATTGATTGAGAACTTAGTTAGCCAAGCGGCTGTACATCAGAACATATATATTTAGATTAAGTAGCTAGGGTTTTACTATTCCTCAAGGTTTCCATGCGACAGGAGGAAGGAGAAGTTGTCTCCATGCACTGGGCGGACGATGAGGAGGCCACGTCCTGGGCCGAGTGTCTGGGCTGGCCCACGGTTGTCTCGTGTCGGCCCAATACGCCCCCGCAAGCTGGACGGTAGATATCTCGAACGTTCAGCTTGGAGAGTAAGAAGCAGAAGCAATCAGTACCCAATCCTTTAGTGAACATGTCCGCCAGCTGCAACTCCGAGCGGACCTTGAGTGGAGCGATGTCACCAGAAACAACGCGCTCCCGTACAAAATAGCAATCCATCTCAACATGCTTGGTACGTTCGTGGAACACCGGATTAGCAGCGATGTGTAACGCTGCCTGATTATCGTAGTAAAGAGGTGTGGCATGTGTGAGATTAACCCCTAACTCACGTAGTAACCACCGGAGCCAAAGAAGCTCACTAACAGTGCTGGCCATGGCACGATACTCGGCTTCAGCAGAGGACCGAGCAACAACTTTCTGCTTTTTGGTGCGTCAGGAGACAGGAGCCCCGCCAAGAGAAATAAAGAAGCCTGTAGTGGACCGGCGGGTACTCTGGCAGCCGGCCCAATCTGCATCACAATAAGCAACAAGATCAAGGGGCCCTTGCGCAGGGATGAACAACCCTTGGTCGGGCGACTGTTTGAGATATCGGAGAATGCGGACAGCAGCATCCATATGTGCCTGAGTCGGTGCATGAACAAAACGACTAAGCACATTCACACCATAAGTGATATCTGGCCGGGTAACGGTGAGATACTGGAGGCGCCCGAGGAGGCGACGATATGAAGAACCATCAAGCAGAGGAGCAGAAGCATCAGGCTTCGTTAACTGATGATTTTGCTCAACTGGGAACAGAATGGGACGGGCTGCTTGAACCCCGGCCTCCTCAAGAATATCCAGAACATATTTTCTCTGACTGAGAATAACCCCCTGAGGGGACCGAGCGACTTCGATGCCAAGGAAATATCGAAGTGGACCTATGTCTTTGATGCTGAACCGGCGATCCAAGAAGGCCTTGACTTGATTGATGAAGTCAAGGTCATTGCCAGTGAGCAAGACTTCATCAACATAAATCAAGGCAGCAACAAAAGTAGATCCCCGCTGGTAGACAAATAACGAGTGATCAGCAGGAGAAGCACGAAAACCCAATTCACAGAGAGCTGTTGTAAATTTCTGGTACCAGTTTCGAGAGGCCTGTCGCAACCCATAGAGAGACTTGTGAAGGCGACACACACGCTGATCCCCGGGGGCCGCAAACCAGGTGGAATGCGCATGTAAACCTCTTCATCTAGTTCACCATGGAGGAACGCATTATTGACGTCAAGCTGATGGAGAAACCAACCCTTGTGGACTGCTACACTGATCAGGCAACGTAAAGTAGTGAGCTTGGCCACCGGAGCGAAAGTATCATGAAAATCCACCCCTTCGACCTGTGTAAAACCTTTCGCGACAAGTCGCGCTTTGTAGCGCTCAATGGTACCGTCAGGGCGGTACTTGATTTTAAACACCCATTTGCAGTCAATGATGCGACGGTTGTCTGGAGCTGGCACAAGAGTCCAAGTCCCATTTTTTTCAAGCGCTGCGATCTCTGTTGCCATTGCAGCTCGCCAGCAGGCCTGGCGAAAAGCCTGATTAAAAGTGCAGGGTTCATCCTCTTTGCTGACAGCTGCAAGAAAAGCCCGATAGTGCTGAGAAACATTAGCATAGGAAACGAAATTAGCAAGGGGGTACCTGATGTCGGACGCCTCGGCCTGATAACACTAGTAGTTATCGAGATGTTTGGGCCTGCTCCGCGGACGATCACTTCGCCAAAGGTCTGAGGCCTCGTCGACAGGTGGGCCGGGCGAGACGGGCCGAGGCTGCGCGGGTGAGGCCGGACTCACAGGCCCACGCGGGGCGGCGGGAGCTGAACCAGAGTCGGGTGTGCGAAGCGGGCTTGGGGGCCCACGCGGAGCAGATCGGGCCGAGCTGGGAGTCCGAGGCGGAGCATAGGCCTGCTGTGCAGAAGAGGCCTGCTGTGGGGAGATCTGCAGTGGCTGGGCTGGAACAGGCTCTGGCCCACGTGAACTGGTGGTCGGCCCATCGGAAGCAGCTGGGGAAGAGGGCCCAGCGAGGGGATCAGCCGAGCTAGGCAGCGGGGAAGTGTCTTCCTCGAACACAGAAGATGGCAACCAATGATACTCGGGGGGGGGGGGGGTCCTGCACACGATACGGAAAGTGAGTCTCATGGAAAATAACATCACGAGATACAATAACCTTCTGAGCATCAAGGTCGAAGAGTCGATAGCCTTTCTGAGTTCCAGCATAGCCCAAGAAAACACAAGCACGCCCCCGTGCTTCGAACTTGTGTAGATGTGCGTGAGTATCCTTGGCATAAACAAGACACCCGAACACACAAAGATGGTCATAGTGGGCGGACCGTCCAAAGAGTACCTCAAAGGGGGTCTTTCCCGTGGCAGAAGTGGGAAGCCTGTTGATGAGATAAACCGCTGTGAGTACACATTCTCCCAGAACCGGATAGGTAGCCCAGCATGGAACCGAAGTGCTCTAGCAGTGTCCAGTATGTGTCGATGTTTGCGCTCAACAACCCCATTCTGCTGGGGTGTGTCTGTGCAACTAGTCTGCAAAGCGATGCCCGCTCGATCATAAAAGTCACGCAGTAAGTTGGTGTTGAATTCTACCCCATTGTCTGTCTGAATGAGACGAACCTGTCGGCCAAATTGAGTGCGAACCATCTCACAAAACATGAGAACAAAACGAGCAACGTCAGACTTATACTTGAGTAAATATACCCATACACCACGACTGTAATCATCAACGATGGTGAGAAAACAATGAGCACCACTGAGAGAGGCTTGTTTGTAAGGACCCCAAATATCCATATGAACCAAGTCAAAACAACCAGTGGTTTTAATCGAACTAGAAGAAAAAGGTAGCCGACTTTGTTTAGCCCTCAAACAAGGGTGACAAGGTAACAAGGACTTGCTAATGGACAAGGGAACAGTAGAACTAAGCTGAGACATCATCTCCAGCGAGGGATGCCCTAGGCGCTCGTGCCATCGTTCCTGCGCCACACCAACTCCACGACCAGCAGCTAATGCAAACGACTCATGACCCCCAAAAAGTTTCGAATAATAAAGTCCATCGCGAAGCTCACCCTTCCCAATCACTTTCTTGGAGTGTAAGTCCTGAAGCACACACATGTCACGCATAAAAATCAATGCAACATTATTATCTTGCAGCAAACGACTTACGGACAACAGGTTACACCGAAACTGCGGAACGTGTAAGACTCGTTCAAGAGTGAGCCCTGTAGGAAGCTTCACTGCGCCAACCTGTTGAACAGGAATCCGATCTCCATTGGGCAGCCGGACAGGCTGGCTCTCAACATTCGAAACCACATCACTCAACAATTCTGAACTGGTCGTGATGTGCTCATTACACCCAGAATCGATTAGCCATTCAAGTGAGTCAAAGGAATTACCTGCCATGTGGGCCGAGGGGTCCTCGACTGACTTGTTGTGGTCAAAAAACTTCTTCAATTGTTCCAGTTGGGCAATCGTGAAGCCTTGAACGGGGCTGGCCTCACTATCCACCTGAGACGCACGTGGATTCCCGTCTCGATTGCCCCGACGAGGTCTGCGTTCTCCCCGCTTGGCCGTGGCTCTGTCCGACCGATCATGTCGATCATCCCTGCCACGCTCTCCCTTATCAGCTGACCCCGACCTGTTATTGCGAGGTGGCCAACCTATTAATTCGTAAGACGTCTCCTTGAGGTGCCCTGTCTTCCCGTAGTGAGTGCACTTTGTGCAGGGACGAGAGCCTGAATCTCGATCGGAGTCTTCGCGACCTAAGTCTCCTCGTGCAGCGAATGCCGCGGCTTCAGCACCGGGACGTCTTTGCTGGGCGAGCAGCCGCTGCTTCTCATCGTTGGATACGATGTTGAACGCTTCAGCAAGGGAGGGCGGCGGCTTCATGGCCAGAATTTGAGACCGCACCGTGGTGAAGTTCTCGTCCAACCCCATCAGGAAGTCCAGCAGCCTGGTGCAATCTTCCCGATCCCTTGTTCTTTGCTCGAGGCCACAGCTGCACTGGCCACAGGTGCATCGTTCGGGAGGATATAAGGACTGCGCCTCCTGTTAATAGCTGCGCAGTTGTGTGTAGAAGGAGGATACAAAGAGTTTTTCTTGCCATAACCCAGCAACCAATCTCCGCAGCTCGTATCCTCGTGTAAGCGACCCTTGACCGAACCTTTCTTTCAAATCCAACCAGATTTCTCTTGAAGTTTTTGCAAATCTAACACTATTGCGTACTTCTTTGTTCATGGATGTGCGCAACCAGCCTTTGACGACCGCATCGCAGCGATCCCATGGTCCATTCTCTGGTTCGCCTTGCGGCCTGATGATCGAGCCATCAACGAACCCGAACTTGTTCTTAACGATGAGGGAGTCGGTCATATCGACTACTGACACGCTAAAACACAACACCTAACAATGGCCAAGTGTAACCAATGAAAGGGACTGCAGTATAGTGGCACAAGTAATAAATATCGAATCCACGGGTCTCTAGAGTTACTATTACTCAGCTTCAGTTCATTATCTAGCAAACTAGATTAAGGATTGATTGATAAACTACTCTACCGACTACTCTACTAATTACAAGTTGGGAACTCACTTAGGTATGATTCCCCCTAGCTCCTCAATTAGGTCCAAGTTGCAA